CAGGATGATCACAATAATCCATCAACGTCCACCCTCTAATCCTTGGCTCCTCCATCTTCCCCTCTGTCTTCTCTTTCTCTCCAGCCACGTTGAAGTTATCCAAATCCGGTCCACCCCCCAACATACCCAAAAGCCATCTCCCCACGCGACTATTTACGCCTTCCACGCCGAATCCCCACTTTGGCCAGCCAAAGCCTTGTGCGATGGTGGGAGGCATGGCGAGTGGAAAGGAGGCGGCGGAGAAGTAAGTAATTGCCAGAGTGGGCATGGGTGGTTGTGGTGTTGGAGGGAGAAGAATTTGAGTAGATAGTGCGACCTTTTCCGGAATGGCTAGGAAGGACGGGATGGCATACCTAAAGAGACAAAATATAAGTGTTATTCTAAGCGGGGAGGATGGAAAAACGGTGTACCAATCATGTGTCCTCACAAGTGTCTCCTTGCACTGCCATGAAAACCCCCATTTCTCACTATCCGGCCAGCTTAGGGGATGCATCCCTAATCCCTCCAATCCACCCTCCCACCCTTCGCCATTCATCCCGAATCGACTAAACATCACTACCCGGCCCCTTACCTCCCCAAGCCTTGGCACCCGGTTCTCCAAGAACCACATCCCCATCCCCCCAGGCGAAGCCTCGATCTCTTCCCTCACCAACCTTGAGAAGTCCGCCGGGTGGGTCTTTACGAAGTCCTCTTGCTTGATGGACATCACGAGTGTTTCGCGGGAGGAGGTAGGAGATGTGAGAAACTCGTGAATGTCGGCAAGGATAGATTTGAAGGGTGTGCGTTGGGGGTAGATGCCGTGGTATGATATAAGTCGACCAGAGATGATGGAAAGACGGACGTCAAGGACTCGGATTCCAAGATTCAGTTGGGTCATGAGCGGGGTAGAAGGGGATTGGCATTGGGAGATGGGCCAGCCGTGGAGTGCCATGCTATTTGCGAGACGTTGCATTATGATATCGTTCAGTAAACAAAATAGTCAGGACATACGTATCGTGTGTTCCTAGTACTTGTAAGCCTAATAACGAATATAAACGTTACATACGCGTACCTGGGAGCACAAGAGAGGATAAAGGAAGCCTATCAGGCATCTCTGACAAGAAAGAGGACATATCGCGTCGCGGGAAGATGAGCAACTTGTGGTGCTTTCGTGTGATCTGTCCTTCTGGTTTAGCGCGAGTATCCAATCATGCACGTATGCAATAATCACCCTGCTGATATATATCCTCCACTGACACCCTTCTGGTACGGTAACCACCTGCCAGCTCGCCCCCAGCGCCATTGAAAGTTTAATCGAAAGTCCTTCTGCGTGTATGAGCCATTTCTTGTCTTCATCTGGATCTATGTTCGATGGTTTAAGAGTAAGCTTGCTTCTATATCCTTTTAGTGAATGAGTAGTCGTGCTAAGAGACGGCGGCAACAGAGCCTGCTCTGACACATATTTGTCCTTGGTTGGGAGCGACGCTGTGATAGCTTCGTCGGTGAGGTTGAGGATTGTGAGGCGCATGTTGAGAAAGTTGACGATAATGAGCGGATTGGCAGCGAAACAGGCAGCCACAAGGCGCTAAGACATAGAATTGGAGTTGAGTAACCCCACCAGCACGGTGCTAGTCAAAAGTAGCCCACTGCGCAATCGTAAGGGGAGGAAATCAGTCGCGTCGTCATGTGATCTGCCAACGACGCGTCGCCAAGATAGTGTAAGCACCAACCCTCTTCCACTCATTCGTCCACCACTGTCAGATCTAAGCCCGTGCCCGAACACGGGCTTAAAAATATCTAAAACACACCATTTACGTCGACATGGGTGGAACCTAGAAACGAGAGAGTGTAGTCCTCGGAGTCGCCATCGTTAGCAGTTCGGTTCAGACTTTTCAGAGCTTGGCCCAGCCCAAACTCCGTTGATTCCCCACCACTTACTCCCCGGATCCCTCCAGCTCCTGTTAATATTAACTGACGGCGATGAGCAAGCACGGTTCCACGATGATGTTTAATCATATACATAAGTAGCTGATACGATAACCTCTTCTCGAAAAGTTTTCATCCACCTACTCACTCCTTCGCTCCATCACTCTACAAATAATGCCGAACTTGAAATTGGAGACTAATGTTAAGGTCAATATATTCGTTATCTTCACTCTTCTGTTACTCATTTGAATTACCACTTAGGTCGATGATCCCAAGGCATTCGCATCAGAGCTCTCAAAGTTCGCAGCGGAAACATTAAGCAAACCCGAAAGAGTTGTTAGCGTCAGCTACACATATAACGAAACCCTCACGTTTGCTGGAAGCTTTGAGCCTGCTTGCACGCTTACTTTGGTATTCATATTCTTTTTAGGACCGTTCGATACCCAAGCTGACAAAAACATGCAGATCAGTCTAAACCAATTGAACACTGAAAATAACGAACTCTTCTCCAAGGCTTTCTTCCATTTCTTCCAAGAGAAACTAGGTGTTTCTGGTGATAGGGCGTATATTACATTCTCTGATCCTGGCTGGAGTTTTATCGGGTACGTCAATGCTTGTTCTCCCTTCAATCTTTAATCCCATCTCATTTCTTGACACGTTATTTAAGATATAAAGGAGTAACGTTCAATACTATCTGGGGATCCAAGTAATAAAGAAGCATGTTGGTATATCTCTTATTTTAATAGCAACGGAGTTCAATATTGTTGAGTCAGCCAAAACACGAATCACCGAACGATGGATCACAGAACAGCAATGAGGCATTTTTTTATTTCTTCGGTTGCGATGCTTCTACTTAGGAATGATGTCCTTAAATTTGACAACGGAGTAGGCTTTCTTCTCCGTTAATTCACCTGCGGTTCATGCCGTTTTAATTTACTGGCAGGTCCAAAATTTGCCTGCCAACGAAAACGTGTCAAAAATCACCCTATAAGAATCATCTATGACCCAGGTCCATACATGGAAGTTCTACGCTCAAATAATGTTCCTTTTTATCAAAGAGCTACCCGCAAAGCAGAAGCCAAGGTGGACGAAAAAGCACTACGCGGTGGTATTGCACAAACCAAGGCAAAGCTCCTGCATCTCCGCTTTCGTCCGGATGATGTCTCCTCTTGCATTAAAAGAAGGACTCTTTACTCCCATACGCCGCCTTCCAGATGAAATGCTTCAGAGCATATTCTTTTTCCACATTGCAGATTCTTTGGTGAACATCGCAGCCCTCTCCCCTAAATGGATTCCGTGGCCCGTTGCATTAGTTTGGAGTCGCTAGAGGAATCACATATTCCGGACTTCATTGTGGAAGAAAGTTCTCTATAGCGTCAAGTTCATTCTCACATACAGCAGCGATTTGTTCGAAAAAATAAACGTATACTCAAACGTATCAATACCTGCCTAAAACTATCCGTCATTAAAACCCTCTCTAGAAATTACGACCAATAGTTACACTGATTCTTGTCGACCATTGGACGTCTTGGTAGTTACCTCTCCTCGCTGTGAAAGGGACCATCTCAATCTAAAATCATACAAGGAGTGTATGCCGCTGATGGCCAAAAATAACATGAATCAACTACGTGAATGTTCAATTATTGTCCGGAGTCGACATTCATTATCCTGTCCCTCTTATCCACTAATTTTTTGCCGCTCCCCAAGCTTACCCGTGTCACCCTCGGGACACCATACATTGCTTTTACCAACTGGACACTTTCATAGAGCCAGCTCACCCATCTTGCTCTGTATGACATGCAATATGTTCGGACAGGGGCACTCTTAAGCCACTTACAGGGAATGCAACACCTTGTTATATTGGACATACGCCAGACACATACTAGCAATACTGTTGCTATAGAGAGTCTTTCCCAACTAAAGTGAGCTATCTTCGCAGTGTAGGAGACGTCAGTAATTATATTGCGCCCTCTAGCTTGTCGAATCTTGAGGAGCTCACCTTTGGTTGGACTGATTATTTCGAGCCAGCTACACTAGCTCGCGTACTGCAGCCTATCTTCCAAGATCTTATAAATCCCTGCAGAAGTTGGCTTACTGAGCAATATATCTTTACTCGCCTTAGAGACTATCCTAAAAGTAACCTCCAACGCATAGATCTCTAACCTGGGATTTGCGCCGGCTGTGTATGTCATTGAGACCTCGCAAAGCTCTTTTACACGCTCACCCCAGTAAGCGGGGTGTTCATGCCAGTATATTCCCAGTATACAGATATTTTCATTGAGATCTTCTTGGCTCTTTGGTATTATAGGTCTTCAGCGGATGATTCGTCACGTACAGTTCCTTCTCCTGACGATAAATTTGGCCCGCATGACGGTCTCGTCCCAGCATCACTCTGCGTATCCTAGGAAAGAATAAAGCTAATGGTCGAACCTGTCGTCACTGGTGGATATATACACCTGGTTAAATAGCTCAGAAGTCTCTGTGAAGAACGGCATGTTGAACTTAGTCTGGGCTCAGGAGAAATGCAAGCAAACCGCTCTAGGAGAATAAACCCCGGCGTACGTTTTAGATAGCAATTATTGCTTTGAAATCTCTCTTAACGATAATCCTTTCTATTGTAGAATTTAGTACGCAAACGTCGTGAATGTCGGGACCAAGTAATTGATATTTGGAGAACTCTCCGAATGCCCCATCCTAGAACGTCAAAATACCCGCTAGGCCTACAAGACCCTAGATCACTTTGTTGTTCCATAGATACATTTAGTTATTCCAACCTAATCCTCAGATTATGAGCATATGCATGCTCTGGGATATCACAGCAGTGACTGCCTGGCTATTTATGGACACTTTACACATAGAACACCAGGTCTATTAAGCTAGAAAGTAGATACAATGTATAGATAGTTCCATAGACACATCACCCGCTACAACAGAGACTATCAGGGGAAAATTTTACAGCGTAAAAAGGATAAGTGATCGAAATAAAAAGATATTCAATATAACATGGAGTGCACTGCATAACCGGGTAATAATAGTGTGTATCTATATTCTATATAGGAATTCTATAGACGATGGAGAAAAATAGAGCACTTCAATTCCTTCTAGCCGACTTGAACGACTGACCTCTTCATACACTTGGATAAGTACTAGTGACGCGCTCTACCAACTGAGCTAAGAAGGATACGTTTTTATTCATGGTTCCGTCCACTCCAGGTCTAGCTCTAGTCCTAGCGTATCGCTTAATATTTTCAAATCTTCGACGAAATGTCGACTGTCATCATCAACTACAAGGTGGCAACGCAGCGCTCGCAGGCGAGAAACGCTTTTGTCCGATCTGCTTATACTATCGGCGTCGGGGTTAACGCGTGACCACACCAGACTCTTCAGCTCCCAGATGCTACGGGGGAATATGTTATCAATACAGAGCGATTCAAGGTTCGGAAGTAGTACTTGGGTCCTCCTTTTAGTCAAGATGTTGAAAACGTCGTGTTGACAGTAACCATGCACCTTAATATCAAGATATCTAATATTGGGCATAGCCGTTATTAACTTCTCGAACGCAACCGGTCCAATGGCACCACGAAGAGTCATTTTAATCAAGAGCGTGGAGGAGTTCCACTGCTTAATGAATCGCTCTATAACAGTTTCAAGCTTCGCCAACTCGATGTAATCCTTAAGATCCAAAGATAACTCCCGTAAATTTGGTGCTTGGAGAAATGGAAGTAAATATTGGGCCGTATAGTCTGTGTAAGAAAACGAGAACAGCTTGAGGGAGGGGAGTCTGAACAGCGAAGGATAAGGTGTCTGATTGCCCTTCTCGAGAATTGAGGAGATGCTGAGCTCCTCGAGGTTCACCATAAGACGAAGGAAATGAAGAAATGCAACTGCTTCCACATCCATCAGAATGACTAAATGAGTGAGTTGTGACCATGGCATCTTCAATCGATCGAATGATTTACAGTCACCTATCAAGCCCAGATGTGTGAGATTAGGCGCATTGCTGAATACATCGTACGACAATGCAGCCGTTGCGAAGTTATCCAGCGTCAAGTATCGCAAATTTCCAACACAATCACGAAGGATGCTAGTGTTATTATCCCATGATTTGGTGGACGTCAAGCCGATCACCGCTCTTTCCCAGCGTAAAGAAAGCCCGAACAGGGAAACTAAAATATTTTTAGAAGCGTTTTTGTTCATGGTACTTTCGAATATCTTTACTGAGAGCAATTGATGTCGGCTTCGGTCTGCACAGAGATCAACTCTGGTTAGAGCTGCACTGAGGAATCGAATTCGACGTTTACCAGAGTTGGTAAACTGTTGCTCGTCAAATACGAGCTTCTGCCACAGCTGTGACAGATGTAAAGCTACAGCCCTCCAGCGATGGCAAACTTGGCTCAACGACCAAGGATAATCCGTTTCTTGTGGTAGGAGGTCTACACCTGTTCCAGACGAGCACAAGATAAATATTTCCTCCAGAACATCGTCTGGAAGATTTCGAACGGGAGCTAATAAGCTCTTCTGCTCTTTTAAATAAAATTCAAGATTGTTCTTTTGTACGACCAGTCGATAGAGAACTGCTTTGGCGCGCGCAATTTCATCATCAAGAGTGCTAAGCTTGAGCTCGGTTTCTTTGAGACGCTCTTGTATAGCTGGCTTTTCTTCTTCGGGAGGTGGTACACCAGATCTCAAAATAGAGAGACAATCTTCGTCGGGAGGCTGAAGCCTCAGTATAGATCCACTGGTAGCAAGGCGTCCGCAGTTTAAGCAAATCGGGGTATTTCTAAGGCAAATGAAGGGGTTCGAATAACAAAAATATAGCATAAAAAGGAAAATATTTAGCTCACTCTGATATCAACATATCTTCACGCCGGTATCGATTTTGGGTTCCATAAAGAAGTTGGCGTTAATTCAACGATGGTGCTATGGCGAGCAGCCGGAGTGAGGTGCAATGGAGATTGCCAAACTTGCGACAACAATTGGGTAGCCAGGGCCGTTGGTAGTCGCCGGCCATCACTGCCACTCAGCCGACTGACGCAATACTCCCGGCAGTAAATTCCGTTTGTGCGTGAGCTCCAGACGTGCTCCTCTACACCACTCCTGCTCTCCACCTCCATAAAGCTCTCTCCTTCTCCCTACCTTTCCCCAACTCCCCCGTAGCACGCAGCGAGCACATTCTCTAACAATCACCGTCCTCGCCAGAGCGACGCTAAACACACCCCGAGATGCCGCTTGCATCCCATGGAGCACTGCGGGCTGCAGCTCGTAAGGTCTCCAATGCCCTCGTTAACGGGGGACATAACGGCCCAGGACATACGACGACGTCCAGGTCGATCCATATCCCAACTGCTGCTCGCCAAGCTACTGCCCATGCTCACCCTGCAGCATCAGTAACACGCAGCAGCACCACCCAGAAGCTCTTCACCCAAACACGCACCCTTCTCGCTCAGTTTTTCACCCACTTGACGGCTCCTGGCCTTCATGTCCCGACGTACGCACATAATGTTGGATCGAGGTCTCTACACACGGCAGGCAGAGCAACCATCCAATCGGGCTTCTCACTCCCAGTACGCACGGCACTCGCGCGCCAGAACATCTTCCTTCCTCGCGCACCAGCCCCCATTCGAAATGTAGCCCAAGTCGGCTTGGGAACTGCTCGTAACTTCTCCTCCTCGCGGCCCTTATTCCAGAACCTAGTCCAGAATGTCCCTGTTGCGGGCCGCGCGTTCTGTGAAGTCGACTGGGAGGTCAAGATGCGCAGGGAGGATGCGAAGATGCGCCGGGTTGCTACTGGTAAGCAGACGAAGGCGAAGTATGGGAAGGAGATGATGAAGGTCAAGGAAGCTGAGATCAAGATGATCATTGGGGGTACCGATGCAGCCATCCCTACCCCTGAGGAGATGGAGCACTATTTCCCCGCTGCAGTTGCACCAGCAGTGACCACTTACCTGCTCATCCCACTCGCGCCTACCCCAACCTCGCGCGTCCCTCTCCCTTCCACTTCATCCGCTGACCGCCTTCTACCCCTCCCCCAAATCGCATCTATGCACGCCTCACATTCAGTGCATTCTTTACGTGTATCGACGCTATTCATGCGCCTTGACCAAGCCAATGTCTGGGCTCGAGGTGTCAAGTGCTCTGCGTATGGCCAAGGGCAGGGGAAGAGTGACGACAGTGCGGTTTGTACCGTACTCAAGGTCACATTTGAAGGGTGGACGAAAGCCGAAGTGCGGAGTGTTATAGGCGAAAGCGGGACTGGATGGTGCGTGCTCGAGGAAGAGTACCAGGATGAGCAGCTTGAGGAAAGTGAAGACGAAGACGGGCTCTCAGATGCCAGCTCGATATTCTCGAACCCGTTCGAGGACTACAATCCCGAAGCTGAACACCAGATGAACTTCGGTATGCCAGCTATCGACCCCTCGCAGTCCTTCGTCCTCCCCACGCTCGATTTCTCCTCCTCTTTCATCTCTTCTACTGCCTCTCCTCCAACAACCTCCGTCCACGCGGAGGGGGAGTTCGATGACCCTTGGGCAGACGACTTTTACCCATCCTCACCATCTCTATCCTCTGTCTCATCCTCTGCCTCACTCTCAAGCGGGAGCTGGGTCGAGCCGCCCAGCACGAATGGCTGGTTCGTTCAGGGATTAGGGTTCAGTTCGCAGTTTGCTGGACGGGGTGGCTTTGAGGATGGGGAGCCAAGAGAGCAGATGTTTTATTGATTGATTGGATTCCAAGCGATATTTTCTTCTTTTCTTCAATTTATGTTGATACGCATGAAGTGCCCTGGCACATATATACTCACACTCTTTGTATTTCTTTTTCTTATCCTGTTTTCTACCCTGTGCCTATATAAACTATCAAGGAAGAATATGAACATCCTGTCCTTATACAAAGTCGATAACCAATGAATTCTCCATAGCAATACAACTTGGATACAGGTGAGGTTATACGGTGTTCTTCTTTCTGTTTGTCTTTCTTCTCCGTCATTCCCACAAGTTCCATATCTATTTCTTGCCAAAGATAGTCCCGAAGGTCGTCGCTTGGTGTCTACGAATCTCCCAAACCGTCAATATTCACTTTAAACATAAGAAATGTATCAAACTGACCCCAAGTACTCCCTCCCTGGGTCCGTAAACACAATATATCCGCGGCTGTTCTTGACGCCGAGTTTCTCCTCAAAGAAGTCGAAGAAGACCTTACTGTAGACTTCGTTTGCAGAAGGGTTGAGGTTATCGAGGCTGACCTGTGGGTGAGATTCGTAGATTGTTGGTGCGGTTTGAAGCGGGGAGGGAGGAATATAACACGTACGATGGAGAGTGTGAAGGCAGGATCGAACGTCCCCGCGAATGTGAGGGTCTCGTTGTACGTGATACTAACAGTGATGTAGGTCTCTGGCTTCTTGAGGGTATCAGCACCAAGCTATTCACCGGTACAGAGAGTTAGTGCTCTCCCCAGATGCTTTGAATGCGAGTGGAGGACCTTGGAAAACTCGATCGCGAAAGCTTTCGCGTCATGGATCTAACCGACGCACGCAATCAGTTTCCTCCAAGATATCCAACTAATTTTTCACATACCTTGACATTGGTGGTCAGTTGCAGGGAAGGCATATTTACTTAAATCGAAGTTGAACTTCCAAGTTCAGTTCACCGCAGATGGTTATATATGTACACAGAGCCCTCGTGATCCATCATCACAATGCTTGCTTAGTAGTCCACTGTCTCAGGAGTCGGGGGTAATTTGCTTCCTGATCCGTCGTATCTTCGCGTGGTATGTATCCGAAAGGGATATTGGAGACCGAGACGGTCCTGCGGTCCATAGAGAGATACTGCCCAAGCCCTCTTCTGATACTGATAGGGAGTCGGCCGAATAATGACATTTTATTCGGTATGCTTGAGCTTGAATGAGATAGAGGAGGGTGAAGAATATGCGGTAAAGCTGGCCTGTGAGCCTCTGTGTAGACATTAGATTCACTCTGAGTGGAAAGACGAGTAAGTTTATTGAACCAGCCAAGCTAATCTTATCTTATCCATATTAACTCTTGGCGATATTCTCACGACTCTCCCTGCATGTCCATGCTCGCCTCTAGAAGACATCCGTGAGTTATGTTTCACATACATTGAACATCTTTCTCATTTGAGTCCTTGAAGATGCTGTGGCTCAGAATGGATCTGATTCAGACTTTGA